GTGACATTATGTGTTTAATAAAGTAAGTATATCGTTACTGACCATGCATTCTGTAAACGTGTTTTGTTATTCCGCTGAAATGACCTGATTATGCCGAGACGGTATGAGTCATCATCTTCATTTTCATTATTTCGGGGAGGTTTTGTGGAATCATGTTCTTTTTTTTTTTTTTGGTAAGAATTCAATTTGTAAAAGAAAGAAATATAAATATAATTTACCATTGCTGGAGTAATAATTTTATTCCGGTTTTTATTCAGTCTTAATCTGGCAGGTGGCTCCCAAATTGCAGAGTATAAAAGTTACATGTTGTCTAAACAACGTCTTGGGATAGGCCATAGGGACTATTTTGGTGGTGGTGGGTTTCTTTATCATATTGATGTTTGGGTAATCATTGACAATTATGCCATGGATTCTTTGGATTCCAAGCATTTACCTGATTACTCGTAAACATGATGAAAAAAAAGAGGATTAATATTTTTCATATAATAAAATTTCCAGTGTTGACATTCATGGTTCAGGTGTATTCTCTTTAGAGAATTGGCCAGGCTTTCGCGATGTAGGCAAAAGCCTGTCCACTTCTCTAAAGACAATAGGTTCAGGTGCAATTTATTTTCACAATATGTACTTCATTTCCAAACCTCTGCAGCATCTTAGCAGGCTAGCATGCTATTGCAGTGATAGAAATTTGCATGGAAGAGGGTATGAAACAGTAGAAACAATTGACATGCAGCTCTGTTTGAGTTTATGAGGACATCTGTCATAATTCATTCTCTACAAAAACATAAATTGACCATTTTATGCACTAGGGCTCACATTAATAGTAATATGTTTTGCATATTTTTTTAAAAAGAATTTCATTATTATTCATATTTATACCTAAGTATAAACAAATAGTTAATAATTGCAAAAAGATGAGTTTTCCAACCATTGAATGTACAAACTTGGATATTTGTTGAGTTGTTGTGCTAGGGATTAAACAAAGACTTGATATATTTCCAAACTGACTGTGAATTCTTGATCTAGAATTAAGTCTAGCTAGACTAATGAAATGAACAAGATTATGTATTGATATTATTTTAATTATTAAATAACACAAAATTATTGAAATTCTAAAAATTTTAGGTACTTTCAGTAAGCATTTTTGGTTAATGATAAGTAGAAGATGTTAAGTTGTTAAATAACAAGAATGATTAAATTTATTTGGAATATTTCTTTGGGGAAGGGTTCAGGCAATCTCATTTCACTTGGTTGCATATATGGTTATTCTATTAGGAGTGTCAAAGACTGATTAAGTTGTGTAGCAAATGAAAGTACACACTTGTACTTAGTGATTCATTCAGAAAAACCCACATCATTACATTCAGAAAAACCAAAATCACTAGTAATGTATTTCAATATTACTTCATACATTTTCTGGAAATATGAAATGTATTTATATCTGTAGCAGTTTACTAGAGTGAAGTGATTTCAAGTACTTGAAGTATATCTGTCTGACAAAGTGTTTCTACTTTTTGACATTTGAATTCATTACAATATAACCATACACATTTTTTTTTAAAATATAACTTCACCTATATATCATGCATGAATACAAGACTGTCAAGTTAAAATGCTCGTAATGTTGGATATGCTTGACAGGCATGTATAATTGAAAGTATCAAGAATTTGTGCATTCCAAATTTTTCAGATGTTTTAAAGTTTTAAAAGATTTTTTTTTTTTTGGCAAGTGCAGTGCTTATAGTCACAAAGGTTTTTAAATACCCTTATACTCATTTGAAAAAATTATATGTTTGTTGAAGAATGTAGACTGAAATATTTATGTTTGTGAGATTGCAGGGCACAGCTGATAACAGCATTGTTAAATCCACATGCCAGTGTTTTACAATATTTTTTTAATTAATACAGGAGATCTGAATCTATTTCATATATACTTGGAAAAATGAAAATCTCTGTGCAGTTGATATTATTTACAACAATCGCGGAAGAAGACGAGATAATGTTTATAAATGCACACAGCTGGATTTCATTTTAATTAATTACCTAAGCATGTGTTTTTCTGGCACTCCCTTCAAAATTGAAAACTATAAAGAGGAAGAAGATGAGCAAAAGTTTGGAGATACTCCCTAAAATTTTTGGATGAGTGCCTGACAATTACATACTCTGCATTATTTTTAGACATCGTGCACCATTTCTGTTCATAGCTAAAAGAGAGCAATAGACTGTAAAACTCGTAACACCTGTGGATTTTGCAAGGCACCAGTTTGAGTGGCATCATTGTTTTTTGAAGATTTGGCTGATTTCAATCCTGTAATGATTGCAGATGCAAGGAATGTGTACGTGGATGTACATACACACTTGTACCAGCGAGCGCATGCAAACTCCTGCTGAATCCAGTTTTTAGGAAGTGTTATATTACAAGTTTCTAGTTTTCAAGGGCAGGTTTAGTGTGCCTTTTGATCAAAAAGAGGGAGGGGATGTTCTAAATCTTAAACATTAAACACACATCTAGCTGAGCACCTCTGATATGTAAGTAAAATTTTTCCTATTTGGTAGGGAAAATTATGAAAGAATGTAAGAAGCATATCACAGTGTTGACAATGGGGGCACAAACAAGTATACATATCAAGTTATTTGCCATTTTTAGCTCATCTGATTTAAAGAATCAAATAAAGTTTTCCTTCTAACTGAAGATTTTCTGTCATCTGCCTGTGCATCAAATCTGGCATCTGTTGCATATTTTTCCACTTTTCTCCAGAAACACAAAGCCACTTTCATTCCAAAGTTGACATAAAGTATCCTTTGGTTAGAAAAGTTCAGTTTTTTTAAAATGAAAAGTAAGTACTTTTCCAAAGGGAGACAAATTATGTAAATTATGATGGGTAAAAATTAGTACATGGACTTTTCTATTTAATACAAGGTAAGATTGATTGATTGTATGTTGTTTTACATTTTGTTCGAGAATTTTTCACTCATATAGAGACGTCACCATATACCAGTGAAGGGCTTCGAATTTGACCTTTACTCGGCACTCAGGGCCTTTGAGTAGTGAGGGTTCTTTATCGTGCCAACTCCTACCGTGACACAGGGCCTGGGTTTTTAAGGTCTCATCCAAAAGACCTGCAACTTTCACTTCAAAATGCTGAGTGCTTGACAAAGGAACAGTTGCTACCTATCTTTTATCGACTTAGGTCAGTCACGGCCGTGATTCGAACACATGACCTTCCGATCACGGAGCAAGCGCTTACAAGGCAAGGAAAAAAAAACATGAAATGGAAATCCATATTGAGCAAGGTGAGGCCGAAAAAAATATTCCCCCCCCCCCCCCCCAAAAAAAATCTATGAGCATATTATCAAAATTTCAAGTTTTAATCCAATAACAATCAACATGAAATATCATAACAAGTAACAAGAAAATTAGGTACTGTAATCCAAGTAATCATGCTGACCCAGGGGCTAAGGTTGGGCCACAAGAGAAATTCAGCATTTCACATGGGAATTTTTTAAATATCTATTTTTACAGTAGCAGTTGGGCCATGATAAATTGAACTAATATGCAAAAGTACCAATGTGGTATAGATTTTATTTTGCTCTTATTAAGAGGAATATGTACACATATGTTAGACTCTTGATAAAATCAAACCTAGAATTTGTCTATTTGATACTTGTATCAAACATATATTCACAATTATAAAATGAAAGTTGCAACCGGGTGACAATAGGGGATCCATTCACCTATTTATTTGTAAGAGAAATATGAAAGAAATGAAAATTGTAGTCTATATGGGCCTCTTATTTGCTCTCAATTTGCTTTGTTATTTCTATATAAGTGGAAAATGATTTATGTAAATGTGCTTAACTGTTACAGTAACTATGCCACTGAACTGTGATGTTTGTCACTTTGTACCCTTGCAGTGTGAGATGATTATACTTGATGTTTTGCCAATATGACTGGATTCTTGAAAGTAACAAAGCTTAAACTTTTTTTGAAGAAATGATATGTGTGGGTTAATGAGTGCCAGGTAATGTGCCATGTTGGGGTAGAGAAGTACCTGAAGTATTGTGGATCAATTCACTACAACAAAGTATAACACATAACTGTATAAAACTATAAATAGGCTAAATAAATGGATTTCACATATGAAATATTGATCATAATTTACTAATAGGTAAAGTTAAATTCAGTCTCATATCCAAATCAAAAATTTCAATATTTAATGCATGATTGGCAATGGTAACCTCCCATTGTGATAAATCACGATTTCAGGTGAAAGATAGAAATCATTCACAGAAAAACTGCAGAGTAATGTGTCTGCACAATTATAAATAGACCACAACTCCCTCGAACGCCCAGATTTGAATAATAACGACTTTATAAAATCTGTTGCCATCATAGATCAATATGGTACCTGGTCTACAGTGGACTAGCTGTGGGATAATATAATCTGCTTTCTCATCATATTGGTGTTGGTAAATCATACTGAACAGGTCAGTCTACTTCAGGGGTTTTCTTTCTCTCTCAGGCTACCTCTCTTTCCCTGGTGTTTTCTTCATGAAAAGGGACCACTTGGGAGTCTAGTCATCTTTTTAAAATTAAAAAAAACATTTTCAAAAATAGCTTTATATTTGAACCTGATTTAATGCTATACCTGTCCAGTCAATGATAATCAGATTTTTTTTAAATAATATTAATAAAGGTTTGTCCAAAAAAAAAAAAAAATCAATAATCCCCATAAAATGGATGAAAATGACATGTAATTTTCAGTATCTTGATGTGCTAGTCCTGAATATTCGTGATATAAATTATACATTCAGATATAAAATTGCCAGAGCACTCCAGCTACATAGTTGTAATATTGTGTGTACAAAGTGTTCATTCACGTCTCATTCTTCCTGCCTCCATCATCTCCAGTCAAAGAAGTTTGTGGTAAGATGGATTTTTAAAGTATGAATCAAACAGAAGATGGAATGTTTATCTGAGTGGGTGAAGCCTAAAGATCCACAGTCTGTTTATTCCTAGTATCATCATATTATTCTTGGCTCTTGAAGATATTGAAGCCATTAAATGATGCATCTTGGCAAGGAACTAGATTGTAAAGTGATTCAAATGAGGAAATTTTAATGGTAGCAGGGAAAACCATTTTGAGGTGGAATGAGGTGCATAATCTTAATTTGTACTGATTAGTGTGTTAGGGGTCAGCATAGGATAGTGAAGGGGGTTTCAGAGTGCATTCCTTGTGTTAATTGATATATGATGTGATTTCTTTTCTGTTTTTTCAGATTTTAAAATGGGGCATGTAAATTCAAGAGTCAGGAAAGAGAAAAAATTGAAAGATGTGAGGGAGGATTACACTGAATATGTAATCAGTGCACTGGAATGTCACAACCCTGAGGTATTATATCACAAAAAGAAGATGAATCGACTCTCCATGCAAGAATTAGAAAGTTACAGAATCAAACAAGGACAGAAAGGATTAAATCGTATGTCAGCCGACATAGAAAGACTGGGTAGAAACTCGGCTAGGAACGAGGTCCAATGGGAAAAATCCATGTCCTTGAATAGAAATCTCAACAACTATCCAGGTTCTTTGGATAGAGTTTCGGAATCTTTCAGTTACGAAAAACTTGATGTGGATGATCATCCAGCATTAACAAAATTACAAAATGAACAAAACCGTCGCCTTGAGAAAATGGAGGAAAGAATGAACCGAATTCGAACTCATGCAATGCAAGAAGCAGAGAGAAGAAAGTTTGCCATAATGTTCAGAGCCAAGACCCAGTCAAGTACATTGGATGTGAACAAAAATGAAAAGCTCTTGCCAAATGAAAATGATACTATTCTACATTGTGAAAAAGACATTGAATTGAAGAAATGTTGTAATGAGAAATTGGAAGATGACAATGGTGATATTATTCCTGTCACAGTGATGAAAGACTTGGAAGAAAAGGTTCCCAATGATACACCAATGGACTCTGAGAAACACAAAATTGTGGTGGCTAGGAATTCATTTTTGCCAAATCTGCCAGCCCTGAATAACATGGATCTGAGTAAGTTTTTTTTTCATTTTATTAAACTTTGTTTTAATACTGAAAGTGAAATAGATAAGAATTAGTTAACTTTTTTGGAAAAAGTACATACATGTACTTTTGCTGGTTATGTGCATGCACTGCCTGATAACGGGCACAGTGTTAGAATGTGTGGAAATGATGGGAGACCTAGAAAATTTATAGCCAATTATGGTCTCTTTCAATATGGCTGCAATATAACATTATCAAACAATTTTCATGCATTACTGAGAGTAAAGAATTTCAGTTATCATAATTTTGGTGACACATCATGCACATACTGTTGTAAGATTACTGTAATTCAAAATTGCTTTGGAAAAAAATGGGTTGCCAATATAATAAAGCACCACAACTCAAGATATGAAACATAGGTTACATGTAAATTTCTGACACATTTGTTAGAGCAGACTTATAATGTTACAAGCCATTCTGAGATAATCTTACATGGAGATAAGTCTAATTTGATGTGTTTAGCCCTTGGCCACAGCAGATTTACCTCTGCCATGACTCATCTGTTAATATCATTTTGTACTTTCTTAATCACTAGTTTATAGTTTGTGTATATCGTTTTCAGGTGATCCCAAATCATATCTCATGCTGCCTTTTCTCTTGCCGATTTTTGTCATTTTGGTGATTGTGAAAAGACTCCAGGAGGTACAGAATTCTCGTCGTCAGTCACCACAGAAAAAGTAAAACCATGATATGGCAGACAGCAACAGATAAATGTCCAGTGTAGGATTGACCACAACAATGCAATATACATGTGGCAACAGTTACAACTTTATACAGACCCAAGGTTTTAGATTTAACACAAGACCTTATTGTTGGCCTCACAAGAATACTTTATTCTCTTGCTTTGTTGAGTTCGGAAGTTGTCACAATTGTATTTGGTGTAAAGTTTTTTTTTTATTTAAATATTGACAAATATTATAAAATCATCTTTCGAGCTATGTGGGTCTGGCTGTAGTAAATTGCTTTGATATTATGAACTGTAAATCTGTGATGCTAATATTATTTGAAATGCATATGTATATGTGTATATATACATTACAGTAAGTAAATCTACAAAACCATATAATACATGTCATAATACTCAAAATGCTACTGTGGATATCTATATTATGTTTTAAATTTGTGGGCTTATTTGTTATTTTATGTATACTTGTATTTTACCCCATAAATCAAGATGTTGCAGAATCCTGAACTTTAATGAATCACTTACTTACTTTCAAATTTCCTTGACAATGATATGTTGATAATTTAGTCAATTTGGGTATTTTATGATTTTTAGAAATCATGTTACAATCACACCTCAAGAGATTATGATTAATTTTATTTTTTAAGAAAGATTGAGATTGTATATTTTTCTTGAAATAAAATGCAGTGTTTTAATGTTTTATAAGAAATCCTTTCTCCACTCAGGCATTGATATTTTCTGTGTGTATACTGTATATGTTAATTGTATTTATCAAGGCAACCTCCATTTAGCATATAATACATCGTATTTCATGTTTATGGATTGCTTATAAGTATGTAGATGTGAAATTGAAAATCCTGTGCAATATTATCCACCTAGTCAAATTGTTCCAGTGTGGGCAGTTTATTAACTATAAAGATTATCCCATGTTAATCCTTTTCAGTTTATTTTTGGTTTAATTGAAATTGCTTCAACAATAAGTGATTTTACACGCACAATATATACCTGTATAAAGATACGGTTTTGATTAAAAACAGCACTCTATACCTGTACAATGATATGGAATATTTTGTTTGGAGTGTGTGGTGTTTCATTTTGTGCTTCACACAATATAATATATATATATGCATTCAATCACCTGATGCATTGACAAAGCAAGAGTTTGTGGGGATGTAAATTTGTGGGGAAGGGTCACCAACGAGCATTGATCTCCCATGAACAATGATGATTCCACAGTAGTCGAATTTCGACAAAATTTATTCATATGGGATTTTAGCGTGGTTGATGTAAAGTCTTGGTCATGTCGTAGAGTGTAAAAATTGTACACTTAGATGGACTTGCATCACAGAAGGAATATGTGTATAATTTCACATCTAGTCAAAATACAACAGGTGCTTGCATTTATACTTTGTTGATTTGCAATATTTTGCATAAATGGCAAACAAATTCTGATTAAACTTTTTCATTGACTATTCAACATATGATTTTGATGTTCTTGTAGGGGCTTGTGTTTTACACACATATGTATTTATGCATTATCAGTATCTATCCTGATATATGCCACTGTGTAAACATTTTGTCTATTAGTGTTCAGTTTATACAAATCAAAATAATATTAATAAATGAGGAGCATTGTATGACTGATTGATTTCTGTTTTGTTTTGTGAAAATTTGCTTGGGAAAGAAAAATCTTTTTGTATTCTCCTAAAACAACCCATCAGAAAATGGGGATTATGATTTGTGCATCATCAAAAATGAAACCATATTAAGTTCAATGGATCAAAGTTTAAGTACTTTTTACTACAGTGTTTTTAGCTCACCTGAGCTGGAAGCTCAAGTTTATTTCTGATCACCAGTTGTCAGGCATCCATCTGTCTGTAAACTTAACATTTTCCACTTCCAAAGAACCACTGGGTTAATTTTAACCAAAGTTGGCACAAAGCATCTTTGAGTAAAGGGGATTCTAAAGTTTTCAAATAAAGGGCCAAACCTGCTTCCAAGGGGAGATAATCAAGAAAAGGCAAAAATAGGTGGTTTCAATAAAAAAATCTCCTCCTCTAGAACTGATGAGCCAGAAAAAATGAAACTAATGTGTAAGCTTCCTGAGGAAGTGTAGATTCTAAATTGTTCAAATCATGGACCCTGGGGGTTAGGATAGGGCAATAATAGGGGATCAAAGTTTTACATTGAAATATGTATGAAAAATCTTCTTCTTTAGAACCACAGGGGCATAAAAGATGAAACTTACGTATAAGCTTTTTAAGGAAGTATAGATTCTAAAATGTTTAAATCATGACCCCAGGGTTAGGGTGGGGCCACAATAGAGGATCAAAGCTTTACATTGAAATAAATATATGAAAAAAAAATTAAAATTTTCTTATCAAAAAACCATTGGGTTAGAAAAGATGAAACTTTTGTGGAAACTTCCTGAGGAAGTATAGATTCTAAGTTGTTCAAATCATGGACCCTGAAGGTTAGGATGGGGTGATTATAGGGGATCAAATTTTTATGTTAAAATATTTATGAAAAAATCTTTAGAAATCTTCTTAAGAACCACTTGGCCAGAAAATATAAAACTAATGTGTAAGCTTCCTGTGGAAGTATAGATTATAAATTGTATAAAGCATGACCCCAGGGTTTGGGTGGGGCCACAATAGGGAATCAAAGTTTTACAATGAAATACATGTTTATAAGAAAAACCTTTAAAATCCTCTTATTAAGAACCACTGGGCCAGAAAAGATGAAACTTGTGTGGAAGTTTCCTACAGAAGCTTAGATTCTAAATTGATCGAATCATGGACCCTGGGGGTTAGGGTTGGGGCACAATAGGGGATCATAATTTTGCATTGAAATATATAAGGAAAAAATATTCAAAAATTTTCTTCTCAAGAAGCATTTGGTAAGAAAAGGTGAAACTTTTGTAGAAGCTTTGTGAGGAAGTGAAGATTCTAAATTGTTGAAACCATGACCACTGGGAGCAATCTGGGGCCACAATAAAGGATCAAAGTTTAACATTGAAATACATAGGAAAAGTCTTTAAAAATCTTCTCAAGAACTACTGGACTAGAAAAGGTAAAAAGTGAAAGCTTCTAGATTGTAAATTGTTCAAATCATGGACCTTGGGGTAAGGGTAGGGCCACTATAAGGGATCAAATTTTTACATTGAAATATACAGGAAAAAACCTTCTTATAAAGAACCACTGGACAAGAAAAGATGAAACTTATTTGAAGGCTTTCTGAGTTAGTGTAGATTCTAAAGTGTTCAACTCATGGACCCTCGAGATAGGGTGGGGCCACAAAAGGGGGGGAAATTTTTGCATGGAACTAAGATTTGTTTAAAGTCTTCTAAAGCTAAAACAAAGGAACAATTAATTTGCATACATTCCCATATTGTGTGAATTTAGTTTATTTTTATGGACCCCAGGTTAGAGTTAGCTATATACAGGATCAGATTTTACATAATGCATGTATACAGGAAAAAAATTTTCTTTTCCATATATGTTTACTTAGTCATATTGATAATGAAGCATCACCATGGTGTGTGGATTCAGAGACCCTTAAAGTTATGGTGGGCCATAATATGGGGTCACAATTTTTCAAAGAAATATAAAAATCTTTATAAAATCTGAAGAACAGCAGGGCTAAAGAAACTCAGGTGAGCGTTGTGGCCCATGGGCCTCTTGTTTAAAGATTAAATGTTTTGTGCAAGAAAATAAATAATTAAAATGGAATTACTTCATTGACATCACTAGCAGTTATCACCAATGTTGAAATTTTTAAAAATTAGGTCAAACTTGAAAGTCAAGGTCACTGGGTCAAAAATCGTAGCATATTTGGAAATGTCTTGTCACAGGTAATGCACATGTCAAATATGAAATACCGATCTTTTCTTAATCAAAAGTTATAACCAATGTTAAAAATTTTTGAAAAGTAGGTCAAGCTACAAGGTCAAGAGGTAAAAAAAGTATATTTGTAAAGGACTTGTCACAGGTAATGTACAGGTGAAAATTGAAAGCCCTACCTTTTCTCATTCAAAAGTTATGACCAAGGTTAAAGTTTAAGTTTTTGAAAAGTAGGTAAAACTTCAAGATCAAGGTCACTGGGTAAAAAAATAGTATGTTTGGAAAGGTCTTGTCACAGGTAATGTATATGTGAAATATGAAAGCCCTATCTCTTCTCATTCAAAAGTTATCACCATTGATGAAATTTTTTGAAAATAAGGTCAATCTTCAAGGTCAAGGAGTCAAATATTATACCACATTCGGAAGGGTCTTGAAACACAGGTAATACATTTGTCAAATATGAACACCCTATTAACTCTCATTCAAAAGTTATCACTAATGTCAAAATTTGTAAAATTAGATCAAACTTGAAAGTCAAGGTCACTGGGTCAAAAATCGTAGCATATTCGGAACCGTTTTGTCACAGGTAATGCACATGTCAAATATGAAATCCCGATCTTTTCTCAATCAAAAGTACGAAAGCCTATTAAGATCAATATAATTCTGAAGAAAAAAAATATTACGCCTTTTCAAAAGGCGTTATTACGCCTTTCTAAAAGGCGTTATTACGCTTTTTCAAAAGGCGTTTATTACGCTTTTCTAAAAGGCGTTATTACGCCTTTCCGAAAGGCGTTATTATGCCTGTTAAAGAGCCATCATTATGTCTTTGAAAGGCCTCTGCTTTTGAAAGGGGGACAACCTCCCAAAAAATAGACAAGCAAACAATCCCCCCCCCCTAAAAAAAAGAACTACATGTACTAAACTGCCTATACTCGAGGGGGATCTTTTTATAACTTTTCGGTAAAACTTTTTTTAAATGCAATGATTTGCCAGAGTTTGACCATACTGCAACAATTTGTTCAGGGACCAAGCAGCCAATAAATGAATTTTTATATTTAAACTATAGCAAGACTATTCTCCCTATAAAAGTGAGAGGGGGGGGGGGGGGGGAACTTGCACACGTACTACCGACCTGTTTGAAAAGGCGTTATATCCAAAAAATGGAAATGCGTTATTTTATATTAATAAATGCTTGAAAGATTGAATCAAAGCCATCTTTATTTATACAATATTTAAAAGTATTTTCTATATTCCTGCACATCTCGCAGACAACTGTTTGCATGCGTATTAAGAGAAGTCAAGACTCTACTTGTGGAAATCCAGGATACAGGCAGATGCAGCTTGGGGCTTTGCTTGCCATGTATTAAAATTCATGTCAATTTTGAAAATATTTTTTCTCTTCTATTGGAAAAAAGCAGGCAAACTATTTGCATGGGTATAATGAGCAATTAGCCTTCAACCAAATTTGTGAAATCCATGACCCTTGGTAGAGGTGTCTGGCATCAGAGAGGGACTTAGTTGGTTTAACATTGAAAATATATTACAAATTTAAAATCTGTTTTCCTGGAAATCTAATTACAATATGTTTAAATTTTTTTTTTTAAGAAATTAGCCCTTTATTTAATTGTGAAATTCATGTCCCGAGGGTAAGATTTCAGCCCCGTGAGTGGGCTAAGTTAGTCATGCATTGAAATTGAAAGGCGTAATAACGCCTGTAAAACTCCTTTTTGAAAGGCATAATATAATGCCTTTTAGAAAGGCATAATAACGCCTTTTAGAAAGGCGTAATAGCGCCTTTCAGAAAGGCGTAATAACGCCTTTTGAAAAGGTGTAATAACGCCTTTTAGAAATGCGTAATAACGCCTTTTTGTGTTATTACGCCTTTTCAAAAGGCGTAATTACGCCTTTTCAAAAGGCGTAATTACGCCTTTTTTCGCATTATTACACCTTTTTGAAAGGCGTTATAACGCCTTTTAATTTTTTTCTCCATAGATTGATCCTAATAGGCTTTTGTACAAAAGTTATAACCAATGTTAAAATTCTTGAAAAGTAAGTCAAGCTTCAAGGTCAAGAGATAAAAAAAAATACAGAGTATATTTGTAAAGTCTCGTCACAGGTTATGTACAAGTGAAATTTGAAAGTCCTACATTTTTTTCATTAGAGAGTTATGACCAAGGTTAAAGTTTGTTTAGGTTTTTGAAAAGTAGGTCAAACTTCAATGTCAAGTTCACTGGGTAAAAAAATATAGTATATTTGGAAAGGTCTTGTCACATGCAGGTAATGTATATGTGAAATATGAAAGCCCTATCTCTTCTCATTCAAAAGTTATGACCAAGGTCAAATTTTTTATGACAGACAGACTGACAGACGGTCAGAATGACAGATTAATGAGATTTAATGTCCCCTCGCTTTCGCGAAAGCGGGGGACAATTATATTTTTAGGGGTCATATAGCTTTAAAGAAAACGGTTCAGTATTGGAAATCCAAGCTAAAACCCATCTCAAAACAGCGACTGCATTAACAAGGTGTCCAAACCCATTATATGAGGGATCCCCGGTGAAATCCACAGTAGGACCCACTGTTGGGAGAGACACTGGGTCGGATTTCTGGTATATAGATGAGAAAGATGGTTTCAGTTTCCACTTTAGCTTTCGTTTCTTTGAAAAAAAGAAAACAAACTATTTTGTTTTATATAAAATTGAAACATTTCAGTTAAATATGAAAGGAAAAAAAAAAACAAAATACGAAGTACATGTAATAGTCAGACAGCACATGAAAGAGTTTACTGTAGTAAT